CATTTAGTTATATCTTCTTTTAAGCATTGTTAATAGTAAATAAGTAGACTGAAACTAAATAGAACGTGTTAAATGTAAAATAATAAATAAAAATAACAATATATTATTATTACAACTTGTTTTAATTTTTTTTCAAATGCTTTTTTTTGTGTTTTTTTAAATATTTTTATGCTTTTTTAAGCACTTTGTTTTCAATTTTCTGTGTTTTTTTTTAAATATTTTCATGCTTTTTTAGGCACTTTTTTCTATTTTGCTGTGCTTTTTTATCCGGTCTTTACTGATAAGGTGTATAGGGTGTTACCAATCTGGCTTAGATCTTGCCTTGTCTGGATTTTGGTGCTGTTTTCTAAAGCGAGCCTTTCAGCTTGTGTTCGCATCTGTATTGCCATTTCTGAACATGCCATATTTGGTTCTGGGTAGCGATTGTAGGTTGGTGTGCCCATTTTCCCCAGGAGTGTCCTGATTTCCAACATTTTTTTACCAGTTTTTGTAGAGGGTTTGGGTAGATTCGTCCCAGCCTGGAACATAATGATGTCTTGCACCCCTCAGGATATTCCGCTTTGCTGCACCCATAAGAATTCCCACAAACTTTTTGTAGTTTTCTGCCTTCGGAAGTATCCAGCGCAGACCACCATCCACTCTCCTTTTCTTAAGAATAAGATATTCCATCTGGGTTTATTAATAGATTTTTCAATTGGGAATTCAATAGCAATGCTGATTTTGGTTGGGCAGTGTTGGCAGTACTTTCCTTGGGTAATATAGAGGTAGTTTGTTCTCATCGGTGGAGACTATGGTTCGGTCAGAGTTAGTTTCGCTCTGAAATCTGCAGTCCTGTGCGTCGATCTATTGGTGACTCTTGAAATCCCCCACGTCTACACACGGCCAGAGGCTGTGGGTATGGCTGGTGTTGGCCACTTTACTGTGGGTGGTTTGTAGACTTTTGCAATAGTGAGTCCTTTGAGTTTTGAGTCCACAAAGTGTTGTTTTTACATATCGATGGTCCAGTTCTATGCAGCAACAAGTCCAAATTTGGCTATTTTTAGTTTAATACGGCAATATGTCCAACATTAAGTAGTTAATCTTTTGTATACAGCAACAACTCGAAATGTCTGGACTTGTCAATTTTAAATAAAATATTGATTTTTTGCGTTAAGCTGAATTTATAATTATTCTAGTTTAACAAAGCAACAATTAGACATGTTGCCCTTTGATTTAAATGGATTCGATAATTATGTGAGTTCCATAGAGCAATATTTTGAGTGGTTGCCTTATGGTACTGAACAAATCTCAAAATATCTGATGTTATTCGCAGCAAATTTTGAGATTAATTACTTGGCATGATTTTTTGAAAGAATCGTGGGTTTAGTGTTTCTGATTATTGTAATATTATGTAATTTCGCTTATAATAAATAGCTATTTAATTGCTAAATAGATTAATTTAATTTAATACAACGTTGTGGCGAAACAGGAGCCAAATATATGTTGCGTTTGGCAAGAAAAATGGCAGTTTTTTACAAAGTAGGCAACGAAGCCCTTAGTTTAAATTAATRTTTTTTTTTTAAATAAATAMTGAAATAACAAWACTSCACTTTAAGAAAAAATTAGCGCAAATCGATGAAGGGAAAAAAAATTATTACTGACAATACTGCTATAWACAAAAGAGGRAACCTATACTATAATAAGAAGAAATGTGGATCCAGAATATACAGTGGACTCAGAGGGTACAGAAAACATTATGGTTAAAAAGTGTTTTGTCAATAACAATAACGACTTGATAGAATTAACAGATGCCACCAATAAAACCAATAATATTATTATTTTAAATAATGTTTCACACTTAGAATCAGACGAGCACATTATTATCAGCCATGATCCAGTTGTTGAGACTTTGGCAGATAATTTGCAAGGACAACTAGAGTTCTTAAATGTGGCTACCCAGAACATCATCCAACTTCGAGAAAATATTGCAAGTGAGTTTGCTGAGGAGATAAATACCATTATGGCAAATAATATTGATGCTACTAGGCGAAATGTACAGGCACAATATCAGAATTTATCTCAACAGAATGCATCTCCTTCAGATACTTACAGTAAGCATTCTATTGACATCGGTTCTACCTATTCACCTGACAACTTTTCTACCTATCCTTTTGAGAGCGATTCTATAGAATTCAGTGCAGAACTTAACACACCGGACACTGATAAAGCAGAAACTGTCGCTGAAGATGTTAATACCCAATACAATAAATCTGATACTAATATGACTAGAAAACGCGTACGAAATCGAGATAAATGGGAAAGATGGGTCGCTATGAAGATAAAATTTAACGGATTAGAATATGTTAGTATCCGAAAAGAAGCAGTTGTTGCTCGTAAAGTTGGACCGCCTTGGAATGAGTATTGCAGGCTACAGTGCAGAGATCTTTTTCCTGAAGAAGCGCGCGATGAAATTCATAAACACATTTTTGCAATGTATGTAACAAATCAATCCTAAATATAGAATGCATACACCCAGTAGTAACGGGTCTAAAAACTGTGTTTACCAATTTGAATTAAACGGCAAAAAAATATGGCATTCAAGACATTTTACTTGAGAACATTGGACATAAGCATTAAACTTATATTTACTGCTAGCAAGAAAAAAGATGAGAGTGGGGTTCTGCAGCTAGATATGATCGAAAAGCACAAGAAAGTTGGGAAGAAAGAAGCGATGCTCTAAAAGAGGATATTCGAAAATACATAAAATATTTTTCAATTATTGCTGATACCAATAAGCGATACGTAGATGGAAGCCTTAAAATTTTATCGATATACAGACTGTATAAAACACATTACGAAGAAAAACAATTTGCCAAAAAAGCATATATATGAGATGATTTTTAATTCAGAATTTAATATGGGGTTTTTTCAACCAAAAAAGAACCAGTGTATGATTTGCGAATGTTTCAAAAATTCTGAGGAGGATTTAAAACAAGCGCGTTATGAAAAACGCATTAAAGAAAAAGAGAAAAAAGAGTGGAGAAAGAAAATGATATCAAATCTGCAACAATAAATAACACAAAACTACTAGTGCCTTGTTTTGATCTGCAGGCTGTTCTCTCTGTGCCGTGTGGACCATCAGCGCTTTTTTTATAAACGACGTCTAACTACTTATAACTTTACCATCTATGATGTTATTGAAAACAAGGTTACTGTTTAAATGACATGAAGGCCTGGGCAATCGTGAGGCAAATGAGATTGGCAGCTGTTTTGCTAAAATGCTTTTTTAAAATGTTTTGCATGTTTTTCTAAAACACCACTCAAAGAATAAAGACCTTTTACTCTGACAATTGCGCTGGACAACACAAAAATAAATTTCCTGTCTATTTGTTATTGCATTGAGCAAATACTATTGAATCCATTGACGAAATCACGTACACATTTTTAGTTGTTAAACGAAAAAAAAAAACGATGCCTTCAAAGTGGGCCTATTTGCACCCCCAAGCAACTCATCCCAATAATAAGGCTTGCTAAGAAGACTGGCAAGGCTTATAAATGCATTGAAATTAATTGCAGCGATTTTTTTTATATAAAGTCTCTGGAAGCAGCAATAGGAAAAAACTTGAATAAAGACATCAACGGTGCAAATATGCAGTGGAATGAAATGTGTGCTTTTAAAGAAATGAAGAGTAATCCATTTACAATTTCTTATAAAAAGTCATATTCAGAAAATGAATTTAGTGAAATTGTGTTGTAGTAAAGCAGCAATGGCAATCCAGTTGTACGGATAGTTAGTATAGTTTGTTAATTACGGGTCATACCCTGTCTTTCAGTTGTCAACGTCAACTAAGTTGTCACGTAAGTCAAGTAAATACTGGTGTCGAACACGCTGTTTTATTAATATTAGTTTTAACATTCTTATAGTTATTAAAAGTTGAAACACAAAGTTTCTGGCTTTTGAATTACCTTACTGCATATCTGCATTAAATTGATGTCCACTATAAAACTAGACGAGGTCATGATAGCGACATTAAACCTACAAAGGTGTATAAAACATGCATTAAAATTTCACAAGCGAAAAAAAAAAGGATTTGGTGGATTTGTGTGTAACAGTAATGCCATTCCCAGTCAATACTGGACTTTTTATAAAGAGCTACCCTGTACGTTGATAACAGCTACAGCAGATAATAGTGATTCGGATTAGAAGTGTGTAGTTTAGGCTAGGTGGTTTGCAGGATAAATGTGAAAAGAGTAGTCTATTTAAGTTAAAAGTTTTCTATAATGAAAAAATATGAAGATGCAAAAATCTTTAAAATTATTAAAACAACTACTTTTTGTGACTTATTATTGTTATGAGACGGTCTGCTACCAACAATCTCAGAACAAATAAATGAATCTGACTGAATGACTTTAATCTGTTGTTTATTACAATCTCAAAAAACCTGTAATCTTTAACATTCAATTTCTCAAAACAATGATTTTTGACTTGTTGCTGCATGGAACTGAACCATCGATATATTGTGGATTTGTGGATCCACGGATAGGTGAGAGGAGATATGATATCGCTTTATATCTTGGTATCCTACGCTGCTCCGCAATGTCCCAAAGAGGTTTCTTGTAGAGCCAACGTCGGTGTCGTGCTCATGGGCCAATTTGCCTACGTAATCACATTTGTCTCTTRTCAAGCCTTCTRCGTTAATTTAAAACACCTCGTCCGGTATGYTTTGTCTGGGGGSTATGGGCTTTCTGGCCCTGAGAGATCTGAAATCTAGTTGGGTAGCCKTTTGTGTGGACGTTTTRCCGTCCTACTCTTGCAGTCCGTTGCCCGGTTTACACCATCTTGGCGGCTGTCTGTTGCCCCCAGTACATACAAGTTGCCCCCAGTACATACAAAGAAAAGAGATAAACATTCTGGAAGACCCATTTATTTTGACTCTCTCCGCAAACAGTTGTAGTAAGAAATGAATAATTTTCGTCGAGTTATGTGAATTTTTTTAATTTATATTTTTTTTTGTTATAGAAAAATCGACGAAAATAAATTAAAGTACATTGAAAACTTGCGAGAAGCTGTAGCCATTAAATCGGTATCAGCTTGGCCTCAAAACCGCCCAGATGTGAAACGGATGATCGAATGGGCTGCTGACAAGCTCCGCGCCTTAGGAGCGACTGTGGATATTCGAGATATTGGTAGACAGAAACTAGACGATGGTTCAGAAATACCATTACCACCAGTATTGCTTGGTAAGACTAACAATGTGATTAAAATAGAAAAATCACAGGCACTTCTAGATATTGCCATTAAAACTTACCTCAGAATCTCTGAGTTCTCTTCACTTTAGATTAGTCTGTAAATGACATTTTCAGCTTCGATTGGGCCATGCTCTTATTTCGTTATTGTACCAAAGCTACCATCCCCATTAGGGTATAAAAGAAGCAATCGAGTTTGAATCCATAAAATAGTATGCCTTAAAGACAGCAGCAGTAATATACAGGGTAATTCAAAATTGGCGTCATTCCCTTTAAGGGGTATTTTATTTTACATTTGTTAAAAGTAAAATAAAAAAAACTCGAAAGTCACATAACTGACAATTTGCACAGACGAATTATCAGAGCGAATTTTCA